CTAATAATACATATAATTAAAAATTAAGATATTAATTGTGTATAAAATTGCTCTTCTGAAAAATAGAAAAACGATCGCTCATGAATTTATTGGTGATAATTGTACAACTCTGTTTGCACGTGGCGCATTTACTGACATTTATATAATAGAGATCACGTGCATGTGTGTACATTTGAAGCCGCAAGCTTTGCGATCCACCGAGCGCGTGTATAAACTAAAAAAAGTTTTATTAACCAAACAGAGCTTTCATTAATAATTAATCAAGTTTTTATGAATTATAATTACGGCTTGTCACTTTTTCACAATAATTTTCTATTATGAATAAGTTGTACAAGTTGTACACACAATAATGTATGTAATGTTTGTGTGTAATATTTACAATATAAAACAATAACACAAATATTTAAATATACTTTTATTAAATTGACACGAAAAGCAAAAATATTTAACGGATGTCACATTGACACATGTTTAGATTGCATATTATTCTCGTTAAAACGTGCGATGTTGACCAGACTCTGAATTTGAAAACTTGTTCCGATATAATTCACCTGAATTTACGATCGCAGTAGGATCGCTTATCTCGTTCTCAATGTCTCAGCTGAAGCAATAATCGAAATAAAAATGCCGACCTTCATACCGCTGAAAGTGTGGGCGAATCTCGTTTGTCGATAGTGCGCGTGGTAATAAAATCGGCTTCCTGTTTGCAAAAAAAAAAAAGAAAAAATACACATCTCTCCATATTTCCGTATCATCGAACTTTTTCCACCATTGCAACAAACTGTGATGAACGATGTTTCGAATTAACGCATCGATGATTCATTTGTGTTTTTGATCCCACGACCAGGCATGCGTATTTACGGTTGCAATACCCCACAAATTGTAAAGGAGTTAGTTACCGCGAATTTTTTCAGAAATTACGAAACATCCCTCGAAAGCTATTAAAAGATAGAAGCTTTTTCATGAAGTTTCTAAAGTTTAAAAAAGTCACGTAAAATGTTATAAACATTTCCCAGAGTTTGACAGATGTTCTTAACAATTCTTAACATTCTACTTTAGTTCTTTTTCAACACAACTTAAAATAAAGCAAAGTTTGTTTGTTAATTACAACAGTCTTAACGATTATTATTTCAATTATTTATTTCTGAGTTATTTACTAATAATTTTTTCTTGCAATTAAACTATCGCAATTATTTTATAAGGAAAAAAGAGTGAGGATTTCTTTTAAATACTATGAATTCTCTCTCTTAAATTATTTTATTACAAAAATAATTTCATAAATTAGCAAGAATTTTTAAAATGATTACATTAGAGTTACTTCTGTACCTGCCGAATTTCGAAAGTACACAAATATTTTCTTAATGTACAACTTTTTAAGCTTTTCCATTGCTATGCAGAAATTTGTGTTAGATCTCTAAATATTATTTCATCCTACATAACTCATTCGCTTTTTCGACAGACGTCAGAGCCTTCAGCTTTTAACATCCGCTCTGCCGAGGACGGGCGGGGTAAAGTTGGTCTTTTTATATTCATTTTTATTCCTTTTCAAATTTAGTTTCAATAAAATATAAAATATTTGTACAGCGAAAGTATCGCTTTAACATTTATATATTTTATTTATTCTTGCGATCACTCATGTTTTTTTTTGTATATCCCAGTAATTTCTCGTAAAGCCTTTCTTAAAGTCTTTCTAAAAACCTTCTTTAAGGATACGCCAGCGAAGTTGCAGAGTTATTTTTTTTTAATTAAAGTTTAGATCTCTTCGTCTTTACTTTTTAGATGTATGTAGAAGTAATATTACGTAAAATATAATATTATAATATATTGTAATATTACAAAATAAAAAAAAAGAAAGAAAAAGAAAACAATATCTTTTCCTAACATGATATTTTTATGTTCCCATTGTATTCGATCGACTAAATATCGATTAATTATTACAAATTACAAAGCTGTAATAATTATTCATTATTATAGCATTAATTGTAAGAAGTTCCATTAATCTCATTTGCATTCACAAACGACTCAATTAAATTCTGTAAAATCTTCACAATTGATTTTTCTGAATTTTCATGGAAATTCCTCTAAGAACTTTAAATAGATATTATATCGCTTCCCTCTAATATAAAAGATAATAATTATGCAACAAAACTTATTCATGGAATATACACAGGTTGCACGAAAACGTGAAAATGTCCAAAATATCTTGCAATATGCTGTTCTACTACTACTTAAGAAATGAAACACGTGAAGGATTCAATTGCATTTTGTCTTGTAATTGCGCCTAATTCAATTTATTTAACAAATTTTACATGAAAGTAGTGCTTTGAAAAATTTGAAAGAAACTCGCTACACCAAAAAGCGCGGTAAAAGCAGAAGTTATTCATGAACTACATTTAATTATTATTTTAATGCAACATATATGATAATTGCGTACAACTGCAATCTCACTTGACTTAAACTTCGGAATATTTAAAAGAAGAGTCTTTTAATTAAAACTTATCATTAATTAAAGGATATAAAAAATGGAGTATAAAAATCATACAAAAATATATTTAATGTTACGAGAATTCTACTTGAATATTCGGAAATCAAGATTATTTGAAATTGTAAGAAAAAAACCTACTTACAATTAGACTTATCTTGACAAAATTAAACTGCTTCGATGATTTCCGCATTTTCCAAATTTCATCGGCCATTCCATTTAATAAAATGTTTCTTCCTTTCATCGATACCTGATATACGTGTATTACGCAAAAATTTCTTTAGACTTTAATTGTCGGAAACTTGAAAGCTTTTGTAATATTTTATGATTATTTAATTTTTAACTTAATATTTTTACGCGCTACAATGATATTCTAGAAAAAAGCTAAAATCAAATCAGAATCAAATTAGAATCGGTGTTTCGATTTTCCCAATTTCTAAAGTCTTTTAATTGTTTTATTTCTTGAAAACTGTTACCGAATGCTCCAGCAGTGTAGATAGCAATGTAATAAAAGTTCATTTTCTTGGTAAGTTTCATTACACAGTAATGAAATCGCAAAAGGTGACTTGAAGTAGCGCTAAATGAAGGCGAATGGTCTGTGCAATGTTACTTGTCTATATATTTTTCTCGATACATTACGGGAATCATGAATTGAAGTAGATTTATTCTTATTATTCTGGAAAATAGCTAATTCCTTATTAACTCTACAAGAAATCACTTACAATTTTGAAATTAACAATAACGATGCACATATATTTTACAACTGTTGTAATCTGAAACGGAAAAAATAGATTTTTAATAGATATTCTTAATTAGAATACATGCTAATTTTATTTTATAAAAATTATTTCGTTTTGTACTTTATCTTTTGTACTTTATCACAAGAAGAATCAGTAAAATCGTTTTACTCTCTGCCTCTCACTGGTATTTAACTCAATAGGACGTCATTATTGTCTTTACAGTTGCGGTGGTGGTGGCCTTTTTCATCTGCTGGGCGCCATTTCACGCTCAAAGGCTGCTGGCTGTGTACGCTCAGAACAGCTCGTCTGAACCGGAAGATACTATGGTCATAGTCTACACCACGCTCACGTATGTGTCGGGAGTGTTCTACTATTTATCTACCACAGTGAATCCTCTCCTTTACAATATCATGTCTAACAAGTTCAGAGAAGCTTTCAAGGTAAGTTTCTGGAGAACTTTAATCATTCTTTATAGCTTTATTTCTCACTGGCAATTTTTACATGAACTTTATAATTAAATACTTATATACTTGCAAAAAATAAACGAATACATTTTATATAGCATTTAAAAAATATTTTGTCATATGTTAATATATTTGATATTAAATAATTACTTTTTATTATGTTTTCAATATTTTTTAAGACTTTTTGCATCTTCCTTTTGCACATTTTTATAACAAATATATTACATAATATACAAGTTATTTTAATTACGAATTTTGTTTTCTCGGATATTATCGATAAGCATCGATAATCAGTTAGGATCGGAATAAAATTGCAAAAATATAAAAATCTTTTATAATTTTACTTTTCATCTTTTCTTCCAGTCGATGCTGCCCAAGTATTGCATCAGGAAGTTCTCGTCTCACAAGGTCATTCATCGACAACCGACTTATAGCAGTTTGTCGCGGTATCAGAGATCAATAAGGCATCGATTCGATGATGCTCAACACTCGCCCTCGGTATCCATCAGCGACGAACAGCAACGATTAACGCATATCGCACTGGCGAACACGAATTTCTGTGAGCCAAATGGACTCGTAAAGTCGCAGAACGAACGAGAGGGACAACCTGCGATTAAAGAAACCGTAGCCTGTCGAGATTATACCAGAAGAGTGTCCAGAGACTCTGACTGCAGCCAACTTACCATGATGACAACGTTGAGCAAGCAGGGCCTGAACAGTGAGGGCAACAATAACGCGAACGAGTGGATTCAGAGATCGCCGAAAGCTGTCACTTTAGGTAGTGTCCTCCGTTATATTAAAATCTTATACTAAATCAATTTCTTCGGAATTTTTTAAATTTTCTTGAATTAATTGGAAAATCTTTTTTAAAAGAAACATGTTCACATGATGTGTTATACATATGTAATTGCGCATACCTAAAATATTATTTGCGAATATATAAATAATATTTAAAATACTTTTTTTTTATCTTATTTTATTAAAATACGTATTTTGAAAAATATGATATAATATATACATATTAAAAACTTCAAATAAATATAAAAATATTACTCTTGAAGCGCACGCTTATCATTTTGAAATTAATAAGCAGACTTTTGTCAACACACACACACACACACACACATACACACACATACACACACATATTTTATAATTAAAGTATATCTGTAAATATGAAATCATAATAAGCTACGAAAAATTTATATGTTATAAATTACAAAACATATTATGTTATTGTAAATATAATACATGTAAAATATATAACTTCTAATTTTTAAATACGTATAATCTTTATATGCATACTCTTTTATCAGAACGTTCATTTAGGAGCAAATTTATTTCAAAATAAAACGTGAAAGATTATATGTAATATGAAATGTATATGCACAAAAAACAGAAATTGTTTTTATTTCATTTTTTTTTTCTTAAAAATTTCTTTTCTAAAATTTCTTAACTCTTATTCGTTCTTATAAATCCGGCAGAACATGAAAAATGTTCCTATCACTTTGGTATTTCTAGCAGGAATCCTCACGGAGAGATTGGGCATTGGTACAAAAGGATTCTTCACGCTACACCGGAAGAATTTGTTAGCTAGCCCGAAACCAAAATTGGAAACCGTCATTGCGATGCGACCACAATTTCAGAGTCATCCGAGCATTGAGAGCGCCAATACGATGAGCAACTCCAGTCTGCAGGACTTTGACGAGACCGAGTTCACCGGAACGGAATCGTCGCCTTACACACACACACATACACACACATGGGCGAGTTAAATTTCGAACTCGTCACTTGACGTCCATTTATCTCGGCAAAACGCCGTCTCTCGAATTAGACGCCGAGCTCAAATCAAATAATGCTCTTTGGTTGTGGAAACCGCGGCGCAGGAACTTCTAATCTAAGAGAAGGCCACAATGGAGGCAAATCTCAATGCAACACGGATTTAGCTACGTTCTAAACAATGCACAGTTGCATTATCGAGATGAATCAGCGGAATTCACATCAAAGATAAGAAAATATCACGAAGAATTATTGTAAAAGGAGAAAAAAAGAATCTGATCCAATCCATTACGATCATATAAAAATATACAAAATATGTGGAAATTAACGATAATGTAAATAAAAATCATCGCTTGTGATTTGTGAAATTGAAAGGAACGCATAAGCGCTTATGCATATTGCTTCACGCAAAGAACTGAGCCGGAAATTATAACACGGACACAAGATATAAAGCATGCGTGGATGTTTAATATCTAAAGTGCGATGTGTGTGAATATTATACTTTCCTGTTCTATAGTACGGCTGTTAATAACGCTAGTCTTCTCTGCAAACGCAAAAGAAAATTTGCAGATGTAATTTCAGCGTTCCTAAGAATATATAGTAAAATATTATATTCTCTCGTTAATAAGATTCTTATTAATAAAAACGTTATTGTTGTGTATAATTAAAGAGAACGTTCTGTCAAGATCGGCATGTTAATACTAGCTTCTTATATTTCCTGTCTGTCGTCTATATTTATATTTATGTATTTTGTGATAAAGCGGATTGCACAACGGCTTCGCAAAGACTTGCCCGAAAAAAAATATTATATATATATGGACATATTTTATATACAATTATATTTAAAATATATCAATTTTTTTA